TGTGTGTGTGTGTGTGTGTGTGTGTCTGTGTCTGTGTGTATGCTTGTTTATATGTACATGTATTTGTGTGCGTAATGTTGGTTTGAATGCAAGGCTAATGTGCTGTCTGTAATGAATACTGCCGTATGTCCTGAAGCGAGTTAATTAACTGGCATGGTAATGTATTTCTTCACGACCATTCTTAGTCATGTCAGCACAGATAATGTAATCACCCCTGTTGAACCAGAAAAGTGTTATTTTGCCATTGTGGGATCTTAAGGCGATATGAGGTATGTTACTTGATTACTGCTGCATTAGGAGGTACTATATAGGCATTATCTTCATTAGCTGATTTACATAAATGGTGAAAAAAATTAGCAAAATAACAAGCAAAGTATTAATAATTTAGGCCAGAGTTCAAAAGCATGAATTGATGTATGATAGAAGAATAACCGATGTAATCCCTGAAAATGTACTTGCTATTATTTTCCCTCCCAAGGTAGCTCACGTTTGTTGGCGGGTTTTTGTTGTTGTTGAGATAAACAAGTATTGGGAATGGGGTGACCATCATGGAGACTTTCAGTTTTAATTTGCTTATCTGTTAGAGTTTCAGAAACAGGGCTTCCTCAATTAAAGGAAGGTCAACACGAATATGTCTCACATAATTATTTAGATTGGCAAATAAAAGTGTGCCTTCAAGGTAAGAGGAAATTGGAGCACTACCTCTTTTTGGCCCGTTCTGGTAGTCAGTTGGTGCTAATACGTACTTGTTTAAGGAGATGATGCCAAGAGGAACGCCTGCTTTCAGACGTCTTCTTAATTGCCCTTCCAAAGACAAGCGCTAGAGCTAACAATATTCATAATTAAACTTTGTTTTTATCACTGAAATACCAGGTCGAAGGTACCGAACTCAGGTGGTCTCTGGATCTTAAAAAAGTATCGCTGGATATAAATTTAGATATAGTTTTCGTTATACCATTCTGATGTGGTGCGGTAACATTCTTATTGATCCCCCACTTTCAGATGTTCAGTTATGTTTTAAAAAGTATAATATCAGCACCTGGCAGTAAGTACAAAGACAACTATTGTGTCACTGATCTCATGCCTTACCAACATTCCGTTTCGACCGTTACTCCCCCCCCCCCTTGCTTCGTGAGGGCATGCTGTGCTGAGGAAGAAATGCAGAGAGACAGACACAGCAAAGGCACAGTTATGAATACGTTTTATTTTCAACGCATTAATCCCAGAATGATCTGATTAAACGCCTTTATTTTCTGAAAAACACAGCCGTAAGAAGGATTTATGATTCTTGAACTTACGGAACGAAAGGTGAAGTTGTGACCTGCCGATAGAGAAGTTGGGTCGGGCCCTACAATTGGCTACATTTATCAATCACCTGCATTTATGAGCGTTGCTAACAGACGGATAAGAAGTTTCTGCGGTGAAAGTCCCCCTCCACCTAAATATTGGTGAGTGGTTTCAATAGGCGTCTGTTTCAGTTTATATTATAATCAATCTCTTCCAACTGTCCTCAGGGAGGAGTACAAACAAGGGATCATGTGTTCACGCTCGCCGACATGCCAAAGTACTCCGCGGACAATTCAGATGACGTGGTTAACTCCGCCGACGAAGTGGACCAGCTGCAGCAACAACTGGGCGGTTATGGGCGGTACCAGATCCTGATCTACGTGCTGATTGGTCTGGTGTACATGAGAGGTGGTTGGCATGTGTGGATACCTGGGCTACAAGTCAGTAATTGCGTGTTTATTTATATAATATTGTTTGTCCTTATGTACATGAAAGCTCAGAATTGTTTCTTGCGTTGCTACGAGTAATTTGATTTTTTTGGGGGTTCCTGTTACCTTTAACTTTTGTAACTCTTGTCAACATGCTCTTATAAGTTCGTTACTCATCTTTCAATAACTCCAAAGTTAGACCTTTCTTACCACGCAATGAGAGCCGTTTCTTGAACATGGTGACTATGATATGCATCTGGGGTTTTCATACTCTAATAATAATAATAATAATAATAATAATAATAATAATAATAATAATAATAATAATAATAGATGTAATAATTGTTCTTATTTTCATTTCATTACTGTCGGCTCTTTGCAGCCATATGTGCCATCTCCGAGTCGCACCCTGTAATAGTGCTTGCATGTGACTTTGTAGTGGGCTTGTAAGTGTTTCATGCTCCCATTGACATAATATTCTCGATCCAGCTCATCAAGGGATTCTAGGATGACAGGGACACAGCATTCCAGAGGAAAGACAGGGATACACAGTGGATTAATAATTGATATGAGAGGCATCACTGTAAAATCAGACGCTCATCAAAAGGATGAAGTCGAAGGAACCGACATTGTTTATAGATTACATTTTGTTTTTGTTTTTAGCTCAACACCTTTTATGTCGAATTAAAAACACATTTCTGTATGGATTTTGCTGGAAAACGTTGATTAAAGGCAGAGAAAAGTAAATTTTCAGTTCCCAAGATCTAACAAGACATTATAGAAGTTTTCAAACATTGGCGACCATTTTCTCGCTACTTTTACCACTGAAACTAGGCTACCTCCACATCCTTCAATGGCAACTATATCGACTTCTATTCAAGATGGATGCGTAATTTTTTTTCATCGAAATCAAGGCAAATAAGTTTAACGTTAAGATCATACCAATAATTTCACATGCTCAAACATTAACGAGTGCCTGATTCCACCGCGTCGTGACACATTATTCTCCAGCCAATGGGATTCAAGCTCAGTTCTTTTAACCTAGAGTAAGTGATTGTGGAAAGCAACGAATCCACTAAAATTAGACGCCATACAAGTCCTATGACCAAGGGCACTGAGATGATGACCTCGGATATTTGAAGATAACAATGGACCACACACGGTTTCCAGTCATCTGTGTTGAAGAGAGAAAATAAGATGAAGCTTTTTTTGCTGTTCTGTTCATGATGTCATTGTTCACCATACAGCGGGAAGAAACGTTTTTTTTCCGGGGGGGGAGTGGTTATTTATTCAAGTGATTGTCTTGGACAGGTGGCCATTAAAGCAAGTTCAACTGAATATGTTTACACAGTCAAACCTGCCTAAAAGGAAACCTATTTATACATTGCACATATCATACAAGTGAGGGCAAAGGTGAAAAATAAAATCAAACCTAAGGGAATACTGGCAATTTGTGTGTAAAGATCCAAAAGATAGTTGCCGTCTACATCAGCGATATAGTTGCCGATGCTTTTCTCATAGTCAGCAAAAAACTGGACAGCATCTGTGCACTAGAGATGTAAAGAATCCTGGATTAGTTCTTGGTTTATAAAATAGAGAATTAAACATCAGGTGTACAGAATAAATTTGTTATGAAGACAAGATGATACAAGGAAAATGAATAAACAAAAACAAATAGATAACAATTTACAGACTAAACAGAACAAGATTGTAGACTGAAAATTAAATAGCTGAAACAACAAACAATTTGACAGGTGGATATGGGTATATAGACTGAAGGGGAAATAATGCACAATTAGCTCCACAGAGATAATCATGAGCACACTCATTCTTATTTTTAATCTCTCTCTCTCTCTCTCTCTCTCTCTCTCTCTCTCTCTCTCTCTCTCTCTCTCTCTCTCTCTCTTTCTCTTTTTTCCTATCTCATTCATACAAACAAAAAAATTAAAATGATGTATACATATTATAATGATAATAATATATATACATTTGAAAAAAAATGTGTGCATGTTTGAGTCTGCATAATTGTATGTGAATATAATATAAGCATATCTAAGCGTAAGTGAAAAATCTGCATACACATGTATCCATTGTATGTGTATGTATGTGTGTGTGTGCGTGCGTATGTGTTTGTGAGAGAGAGAGAGAGAGAGAGAGAGAGCGAGCGAGCGAGAGACAGACAGACAGACAGACAGACAGTTTGCGAGAGTGAGAGAGCATGTGTGTGTACCTGTGTGAGTGTGTGTTTGAGAGACAGACAGACAGACAGACAGACAGACAGACAGACAGACAGACAGACAGACAGACAGACAGACAGACAGACAGATGAGAGAGAGAAACAAACCATAATGATTATGACTGTGAAAAAGTATGTCTCTTTTGTGTGCAGATGTGTGTGTGTGTGTGTGTGTGTGTGTGTGTGTGTGTGTGTGTGTGCGTGCATGTGTGTATGCGTGTGTATACATCTGTGTGGGTGTGTGTGTGGGTGCG